AGTAAGGGACCATCTTGAAGGCTTTCTCTACAAGTTCAAAGCAACCAGTATTTCTCTAGTGTTGGACACACATCACCATTTCTTTTGTTCAGCTGAAGACAAGTGAATTGGCTTGAATTTAGTGGCCATATTGAATAAAAACTATATATCATCAAAAACTGGAGGGAAGAGTAGGTATTTTTGCATTAGGCTTACTCAAGTGTATGCTTGCACTGAGGGGTTGCCTGCAGTTTTCTTTGGCTATACACTTGCTTATAATGAGGTGGATGAATGGATGGGTAGAAGGATAAACATGTGATAAAGCAAATATTATACAATGTTAATTATAGAATCAGGTGATTGGTATACATGTGCCCACTGTATAACTCTTTAAACGTTTTTAGATGTTTGGAAATGTTCATAATAAATGCTGGAAAAATTAGCTCGTTATGTAATTTCATTGCAGAACTCTTAAAACATATTAGTACGGAGACTACAGCACCACATTGAAATGTGTTTAAGAATTCGTGTTAAGCACGAATTGTATTATTATTATTTTGAGACAGGATCTTGTTCTGTTGCCTGGGCTAGAATGTGGTGGTGTTGTCATAGCTCACAGCAACCACCAACTCCTGGGCTCAAGTGCTCCTCTTGCCTTGCCTCAGCCTCTTGAGCAGCTGGGACTGCAGGTGTGCAGCACTACACCCGGCTAATTTTTTAAAATTTTTTGTAGAGATGGGGTCTTGCTATTGCCCAGGCTGGTCTCAAACTCTTAGCCTCAAGCAGTCCTCCCACCTTGGCCTCCCAAAGTGCTAGGATTACAGGCTCGAGCCACAGCACCCAGCCTAGATTTCATTATTGATCACCATTATTCAACACTCTGTAGTAGTATTATATCTTGTCTTAGCCTCATGGTGGGTTGAGTATTCATTTCCCATTGTTTGGGCTTAGCTGTGTGACTTGCTTTGGTCAATTGGGATATTAATAGAGGTGATGCAAGTGGAATCACATGCTTAAAATGACCTTGCCCAGTGGGGTTTCCCTACAAGGGCTGTCCAGAAAGTATCCAGCCATTGTTAATATAATTTTTCATATTACATGGCTTGATACTTTCTGGAAAGCCCTCGTATTTGTGATTTTGCTATTGTTATGAGAAGAATATATGCCGAGGAGCTCTTCCCCCTTCTGCCTAAGCCTCAGAATGAGTCACAAAGAGCGAACCTGAACCTCATCTGCATCCCAGAGCCAACCCAAGCTGAGCCCAGCTAACCTGCACACCCAAGAATGAGAAAAAGGAACATTTGTATTTAAACCACTGAGATTTTTTTAAGGTTGTTTGTTATGCAGCATTAGCTGACTGTTACAAGCAGGAAAGCTGAAGAAAAACATGATTTTTTTGGATATAGCCATTATTTACTTTCTGAAAGCTGTTAATAAATGATGTATCTTACAATCAATAGCATATTTTTAAACATAGTAAAGCATGTTTAATTCAATTAAGGTGCAATATAGTAAATTTAATTGTTATACATTGAATTAAGGTATAACATAGGAAAGTATACCAAGTGCACTGACCCTAAGTGTACAGCCTGATGAATTTTAACATAAGTAACCACTTGTGTAAACCACCACCCAGATCCAAGTATGGAACATCTGAGCATTCCAGAAGTTTTCCTCATGCCCCTTTCCAATCTACACCCCTAGTTCGAGCTCCAAGGTAACCACTTCATCAGCAGCTTTTTTTCCCTTTTGAGACAAAGTCTCGCTCTGTTTCCCAGGCTGGAGTGCAGTGGTGTCATCACAGCTCACTGCAGCCTCCAACTCCTGCCCTGAAGCAATCCTCCTGCCTCAGCCTCCCAGAGTGCTAGAATTACAGGTGTGAGCCACCACACCTGGCCCAAATTTTTCTTAAGTTTAAAACAACAAAGAGAGAGGTCATTGTTTACCTGCTGGCTGAGGATGCAATAGACCAGGAAAATGAAGAAACCCTGAAGGCTGTTGATGATGGTGAAGAGGTAGGCCATGACCTGGGCAGCTGGACCCACCTGCAGAATGCCCAGGCACCACGTGCAGCCCAGGATGAAGAGCTGAAGTGTCGCTTTAAGTGTCAACATCCTGAGAGGAGTCAGAGATGATGATGATGTCAAAAAGCTAATAATGGATATAGACACCCCTATAGTGTAGCTGTTGGAGTGAGGATTCTGAAGATAGACTATCCGGGTTTGGATTCAAGCCAGCACTACATAGTGTGTGACCTTGAGGTAAGTTACTTTACCTTCTTGTAACTCAGTTCCCTCATATTTATTATAGTCTTATTTCAGGGAGTTGCTATACAGATTTTTTTTGAGACAGGGTCTGACTCTGTCACCCAGGCTGGAATACAGTGGCACAATCACAGCTCACTGCAGCCCCAAACTCCTGGACTCAAGTGATCCTCCTGCCTCAGCCTCCTGAGTAGCTGGGATTACAGGTGCCTGGCTAATTTTAATTTTTTTTTTTTGTAGAGACAGGGCTCTCACTGTGTTGCTCAGGCTGGTCTCAAACTCCTGGCCTCAAGAGATCCTCCTGCCTCAGGCTCCCAAAGCCCTGGGATTACAGGTGTGAGACACTGCCTCTGCACTGGAGTTGGTTAGTTTTGGTAAAAAAGTACTCCTGTATGCATCTTGTGTTTGTATGGCAGAAACTGAAGGTTTCCCCCCTTCTTCTCCTCTTTCTTTAAGTGTTAAATCTCATTCTCCTTTGAGATTTATCAGGGCATGTGGCCACTCAGTTAGAGACTACATTTCCCAGCCTCCCTTGCAGCTAGGTGTCATCATGTGACCAAGGTCAGCCAATGGGATATGAGAAAATGTGGAATGTGCAACTTCTATGTCACCTCCTTCCTAGGGGATGATGGAGCAACAAAATAGAAGGAACCTGGGTTCCTAGGTCACTTTGTGGAGCAGAGCTTCTCCACTAGCCCTGGACTGCTCACCCCTGACAGGAGAGTGAAATAAACTTGCATCACATCCTTCTTTTTTTGGGATCTTTTTGTCACAGCAGCTTAGCCTGTGTTGTAGCAAATACAGGTTCTCATGAACTGTGACAATGGAAGATGACCTGGCCTTGTTAGTCCCTGGAGCATGGTTGTGGGGTACACGTGGGTGCGTGTGTGTATGTGTATGTAGGAGGGACGAGTAGGGGTGGGAAGAAGAACAGGGAGTGGGAAGTACCATCTGTCACATCCTACCTTGTGTTCTGGATGGTTGACACTTCACTATTGAGGGAGGAAAATTTCCTTTTCAAAATCCAAAGGACCAAGAGAAAAAATACTAAATTCATCTGCAGGAACAACACGGGTAATGTAGAGTGCAAGTTAAAATAACATACAGTGTCCACTTTAAATTGCACACAAAAGCTCTACCTCCCTGCACATGGGCTGAACTGGTAGCAGGTGGGAAAATGAAATGACACCATGAAGGACATGCATGCCCCCTGTCCTATCTTGTACCCGGTACTTCTGGCTCTTCCCGGGTTAGGAACGTCAGAGGCACATACTCACACAGAAAATGGCGCAGACTGGGCCAAGGAAACCCCAGATGAATCCCTGATCCAGGTTGAGCCAGCAGCTGGGAACAATTGGAAAAGGGACACAAAGAGAGGTCAGAGGAAGCACATGACACGAACACGAAGAGGCACTTTCACTGTGAGAAAACGTTTCCAACTCCTTCTGAAAGTCGGCTGACGACAATCATGGCTTTGACTTCTCACTGTCATGTGCCAGCGTTATGTTAAACATTCTGATTTTGAGACAGGGTCTTGCTGTGTCACCTGGGCTAGAGTGCCGTCATCATAGCTCACAGCAACCTCACACTCCTGGGCTCAAGCGATCCTCCTGCCTCAGCCTCCTGAGTAGTTGGGATTACAGGCATGAGCCACCACGCCCGGCTAATTTTTTATATATATTTTTAGTTGTCCAGATAATTTATTTCTATTTTTTTTAGTAGAAATGGGGTCTCACTCTTGCTCAGGCTGGTCTCGAACTCCTGGCCTCAAGCGATCCTCCCACTTCGACCTCCCAGAGTGCCGGGATTACAGGCATGAGCCACCGTGCCCAGCCTATGTTAAAAAATTTAAGAGCACAGTCCCATTGAGTTTTCACACCAGAATTGTGAGGTTAGGACAATGGGTACAACTGTTCCTCTCATTTCACTCATAAGGGGACTAAGACTTGAGAACTCAAAGTTCCAAATTACGGGAAGGATGAACCCCCAAAACTCCCTCCTTCTAGAATCTTCCGCACTCTCACTGCCGTCTTATCCAGCCTCACTGGGAAAGAGGTTAGAGCTGCTATAAAGGGGAACACAGAGTGCATTGGATATGTATATCCTCCTCCTGCTCATGAATGCTGACCCCCCCTCCGACGAAAGCTTTCTTAGGAAACCGTCCACGGCGCAGGGTGAGAGTCAAGCTCACCGATCAGGGGTCCCATAAAGTTGAGGCTTAGATGCTGCAGAAACGGCCACAATCACGGCGGGGACGCCGTAGCCAACTGGGAACATGAGCCACTTCATGAGTTTGTTCATGCTGGAGTAGTTGACCACCGTCAGGTTCCGCGCGGTGAGGAAGAGGTGCAGGCCCTCCAGCAGCATCCAGGTGAAGGAGGCCAGGTAGAGGTAGTGTAAGGCACCAGCGACGATGGCACACAGCAGCTGGGGGAGCAGTAAGGTCACCAGAAGGGGTTGTCAGGGAAGAGCGTGGCCCTAGGAACTCTCCTTGACACTGGCACTGGGTTCTGAGCACCTGATGTTAGAGCAAGAGCGTTAATTTCTGTTTGTTTACTTATTTATTTTTTTGTAGAGACAGGGTCTCACTCTGTCACCCAGGCTGGAGTGCAGTGGTGGGATAATGGCTCACTGCAGCCTTGAACCCCTGGGCTCAAGTGATCCTCCTGCCTCAGCCTCCCCAGTAGCTGGGACTACAGATGTGCACCACCACACCTGGTTGATTTTTCTATTTTTAGTAGAGATGGGGTCTCGCTATGTTGCTCAGGCTGGTCTTGAACTCCTGGCCTCAAGTGATCCTCCCCCCTTGGCCTCCCAGAGTGCTGGAAATACAGACATGAGCTACCATGCCCGGCCTCCTCCTTTTTTTTTTTTTTTAAGGCTGAATAGTATTCTAGGACATAAATCTATGAAGGTGTTCTCTCTCTCCTCTGTACCAGGAAGGACACAAGTTGATCACTGAAGACAACTTTAGATCCCTAACAGTCTGGAGCCAGCACCGGAGGAATCTACAAAACAGACTTTACTAACAAGCCTTTATCTATGATTTCTTTCCCATATACTTGTCTTCCCACAATTTGCTGCCTCTAGAGACCCCAGATCTTTTTCCTTTGCTGTGTTACTTCTCCAAAAACTTATTGTGCTTCGGAGCACCAAGATGCTGGTGCTCTAAACTACTTCTTTGAGAACTACTCATTTCCTGAGTATCTCCCATGTATATAGGAAATATACCCCCGTGTTAATAAACTTGTGTTTGTTTTTCTCTTGTTAATCTGTCCTTTGTTTCAGGGGTCCCAGTGAGGAACTCAGAAAGGTAGAAGAAAAATTATGTTTTCCTCCTCTACAGACACAAGGTATTAATGTATTAAGGTATCCAATGCAGCGTCACTCCATGAGCCGCCATCCCCTGGGGCAGGGCAGGGGGTCCTCTTACACCCTTAGTACCTTGGGTTCGGTTCGGTCGATCGCCGTGAGGAAGAGGAGGTGGGCCAGGAAGAGGCAGAGCGAGAGCTGCAGGTGCAGGGAGGTGCTGGTGTTCTGGATGGCTTTGCACAGGAGGAAGGTGAGGGCCGCCAGGAGGAGGCACAGCAGAGAGAGGCTCAGCCCCACGTAGGTGATGATGGTCAGCACAGGATCGTCCTCCTGGGACCCAGAAAAGGAGAGTTCACTCATACTTTCCTGCTCTCACATCATGGTTCTCCTCCTTGGACTGGGGCATCCTACACACAGGCACCAAGCCCCACGATAGCATGGAAAGTGTCCGCTAGGCTGTCCTTTTGGTTTGTTTTCAGCTTTATTGAGGTACGCTTAATATACAAAAAATCGCATATATTTAGTGTATACATTTTTTTTTTTTTGACACAGGATGTCACTCTGTTACCCGGGCAAGAGTGCCGTGGTGTCACCAGAGCTCACTGCAACTTCAAACTCCTGAGCTCAAGCGATCCTCCACTCAGCCTCCCAAGGAGCCGGGACTGCAGGTACATGCCACCATGCCTGGCTAATTTTTTGTAGAGGTGGGGTCTTGCTATTGTCCATTCTGGTCTGGAACTCCTGGCCTCAAGAGATCCTCCTGCCTTGGGCTTCCAAAGTGCTGGGATTACAGACGTGAGCCACCGCACCCAGCCTAAGGCATACATTTCGATGAGTTTGGACATATGCATAGGTAGGGGAGCGGAATAGGTCACCCCCTAAAAAGTAGGATGGCAGTTGCCAGGGACCGAGGAGAGGGGAGAGAGGGAACAGGGAATTGTTGTTCAAGGGGTAAAGAGTTTCGGTTTTGCAAGATAGAAACAGTTCTGGAGATTGGTTGCGTGACAACGTGAATGTCTTTAACGTCGCTCAACTTAACACTTAAAAATG